ATAATAAAATTAAAAATTAAAAATATCTTAGTTTTTATTTGGATTAAATAGTTATTAATTACTTCGCTTAACTTTTATTTCTGTTAAAGTTGGTTAATCATATATTTCGGCTAAATTCAGTCGATTAGTTAAGTTCTAATTTTCTTTAATTTTAGTTCGGTTAATGATTGAAATTAATTTGGTCAAAAAGTTCGGTTAAAAAATTCATTCAATTAATTTATTTTGATTAAAAATTTTACTTAAACCCATCAAATTGGTCGAATGCTTACCTCTATGTGTGTGAGTGCGTGTCGGCCACTCATCAATCCGGGCCGGGTCAAATTTAAATTCGGGTCAGGTTAGTTGAAAAATAATAAAAGAACTTTTAAAAATTAAATGGAGCGGAATGAGTGTTATCCGTTTTATTATTTTCTTTTTATGGTAATGGGTGCATTTCAAACCGTCTTCAAATCATTAAGCCAATCAAATTACTTTTATGAGTTTAGTTGGATTTAAGTTAATTTTTATTTACAAACCCTGAAAGTGGATTTGATTTGTACCAATATTTCCAGCAACATCAAATCGAACCATAGAAAAAACAACAGAAAGAAAGAAATGGAACAGGAGAGAAAAGCAGAGCTAAATGAGGCAAGAAAATAGAGAGAGAAGGTTTGTGGGATGATTGATTAAATCTCAAAGAGCAGACAAAAAAGAAAAGAAAGGAGACTGTCGATTTGACATTTTGACAAGATGTAACATTGCACCATAACCTAATAAAGGCAAACCCAATCAAACAACCAAACCAAACTCAATAATAAAAAAGTCTTCTTCACTGCCCAGTCAATCACCTTGATATGCTCCATCATTTACCCTCCCTCTCCTGTTCTTTCTTTTTGGAAGTTCAGAAATAATATATATCCAATCAAACAACCAAACCAAAGCTACCAATAATAAAAAAAGTTTTCTTCTTTCAGCCCAGTCAAATCACCATTGATATGCTTTTCCCATCAGTTTATACCCTCCCTCTCCTGTTCTTTTCTTTTGGAAGTTCAGAAATTTAATATATATATATATATAGGTAGTCAAGTATATAATATATATATAATATTTACCATTATTAATTTAATTAATTTGTTAAAATATATTTCTGAAATTTTTTACACTTTCCTTCCAAGGTATTTGTTTTGCTAATTTTTAGGGTCCTTTTCTTCCCTATATTTTCCCTCTGGGTATTCTTTTCCCTTTTTAGGGAAAAATCCATTTCAAAAATTATTATTAAATTGATAAGTATTTGTGGACGCCTGCTCGCGGCAATAATTTTTTTAAATAACTTTTTAGTGTTTTAATAAAGGTTTTTAAAATTCTATTTTAGAGTTATGAATGGATGGGCTGTAGTCCTCTCATGACAAATTTAATACTCATTATTTTTTCATCCCGAATTCACATTAATTTTTAATTCATATCTGCACGAGGTTTTATGGTCCAAGGAAATAACACCCATTGGCTATTAAATATTTACCATATAATTTAATTAATTGTTAAATATTTCTGATTTTTACACTTCCTTCCAAATATTTTGGCTAATTTTAGGGTGCCCTTTCTTTCCTATATTTTCCTCTTTTCTTTTTCCCTTTTAGAAATCCATTCAAAATTATTATTAAATTGATAGTTTTACGCCCTGCTCGGCAATAATTTTTTAAATAACTTTTAGTGTTTTAATAAAGTTAAAATTCTATTTTTAGAGTTTGAGTGCGTTTTTATGACAATTATACTCATTATTTTTCATCCCGAATTCAATTAATTTTTTTAATTCATTAGAGGTTTTTATGGTCCAAAATAACACCCATTGGCTTATTAAATTGATGAAACAACTGTGACCGAGAGAAATCGAGCTTGAGACTACTTACTCCTCACATAAGTGAAAAAAACAATCAGGCCACCACCTAATTGGCAACCGAATTCAATTAATTAAACAACTACTGTTATTTTTTATCAATTTAAGTTAAATAGGTAACAACTATCAGCTAAAAACAACTAATAAAACAGCAAATAATTACTATAATGACTAACAGCTATTAAAACTGTTAATATTTCTAAATAAACCCTTAATTTAGTTATATGTGTCTATATTAGCCAAATAAGTCATGGGTTGGAGAGGTTGTTACTAATAAAATTGTAACACATATTGAGTTTAATTAGATTTATGGACACACCTTAACCACTATATTTATTTTTTTTGGAACTTATTTTATATGTACAATAAATTATCAATAATTGAAAATTGATTGATTGACAAAAGAAAAAATAAACCTGTAATACTTGTGGTAGGTACAAGTTCATCCACCATTATTAATTTCACAAGAACATGACTTAAACATTAATTACTATAGTGTGTAAAATTAAAAGCATTTCCTAATTGAAATTAATTATGTACCGAAAACAAATATTAAGTTAGCTACAACCTTTGTTTTAAGTATAAAGACAGAATTACATAACTCAGATTTCAGTGAAACATCATATCACCCTATCAAGAATCTTTCTGGGCCATGCATATATTATTATTATTATTATTATTATTTATTTTGAAAATTTATTATTATTATAATAATATTTCTGCAATGAAATTAATGGGATTATATCAGCGTATATAAACAAGTTTAGCCGTAAAATTAAAAAAAAAAAAATCGATCCGTAATTATAAATTCAAAAATGAGATTAATATTTATTACCAAAAAGAGTACATAAATATTTATTGATAAAAAATTAAAAAGAAAGAAAAACAGGATTAATATTATTATCAAAAAGAGTATACAAATATTTATAGATAAAAAAAATCAAAAGAAGGAAAAGGGAAAAGAAAATTCATCTAGTTTTGTTAAAAAGGTTAAAAAAAAATAAAAATAAATAAAAAAAGAGGAAGAATAGGTGAAAGATACTGAGGTGACGTTTGTGAAATGATATTCAAACTGTCATCACGTACTGGACGTGGGTTTCTTTGCTTGGGCCCTCCTTTGTCCCCTTCTGCTTCCCACTATATAATATATAATATTCAATTTAAAGAAAAATAGATTATTTGCATTAAAAATACTTTGATTGTAAAATTAATAAAAGGAGAGAAAAAAATAAGTGCAAAAATTTTTGAAAGGAATTTTAATTTCTTGTCGTTTCATTATTCTTCTTTTTTTTGTTTTTTCCTAAGGAAATATCAGATTTCCTTTCTATTTCCTTACATTTATTTTCATTCTTTTAAGTAAATTTTGAAGTAGTACCAATTATTTTTTTTATTTTTATTGAGATTATCTATAAATTCTCAATTTTACAAATGACTTTTTTTTTTTGTTTATACCACTCATGTCACATCAGACCCATAAATGGAAGCCATCCCAATATATATTTTCAATTCGGAGCAATCGAATACTCAAACTATTGCTCTAGTATTAAATACATATATGATTTATCAAAAAATCATAGTTCGAATCTCTTTTCTTAATACTCAAAAAAAAAAAAATACTCAACCCATTAAAAGACGTTAGTCATTTCCATTTAAACGAACTCCTATGGTAGGTTAAAAATGACTTTAATAGTAGATTAATAATATTATTTAGCTCAAACTCAATTCGTTAATGTATATTTAAATTTGAAAAGATAAATTTGCCATTTTATATTCGATTTTAAACTGGAGTGAATAATAATTTCAAATTATTAAAAAAGCTCGACTCATTTACTAGTTTAAATTCTAAATAACTCCACTTATTTATTAAAACGAGTTTAATAAGCATGTTAAAATGTGGTTTAATAAAACGAAAATTTTTCTAATGGAATCTCAAACAATTATAAACAATTGACTCATTTTATTTTCTTTCCTCCCTTTTTAAGAATGAGAATATAATTAAGGAGAATTTTCATATGTACATAATTTTTTTTATTAATTTGATTACTAATTTGATCAAAATTATTGACAGTGGAAAAAATCGAAAAATACAGGGTATGTTCAGTTGTAGAAAACTAGAATAGTTTTCAAAAAAACTGGAAAACAGAGTTTTTGTGTTCAAATCATTCAGTTTTCTATTTGGAAAACTAGAAAACAATTTTTCAGTTTTCCAAAATTTAACTCAGATTTGGAAAACAACTTTAAATTGTTTTCCAGAGTTTTCCTTTACAACAAAATACATGTTTTTCAATTGTTTTTCACTTTTAAAAAATGGCATTTTCATAATTAAAATTATAATATTTGTAAATAATTTTTTCTATAAAATATTTTCATTTGAAAACTGGAAAACAGAGTGTGTTCAAATCATTCAGTTTTCTATTGGGAAAACCTAGAAAACAATTTTTCAGTTTTCCAAAAATTTAAACTCAGATTTGGGAAACACCTTTAAATTGTTTCCAGAGTTTTCCTTTACAACAAAATACTGTTTCAATTGTTTTCACTTTAAAAAATGCATTTCTCATAATTAGAATTATATATTTTGTAAATAATTTTTATCTATAAAAAAAGATATTTTTCTATTTTGAGTTTCAAAAAAAATAAAAAAATTAACTTATTTTCACTTGCAAACAATAAATGAATAAATTGCATAGATTATGCTATTTTTAATAAAATACACTTCAAATTTTTTATTTTACAAATACATGATATTTTTATTAAAAAAAATAAGAATGATAGAAATATATTACTTTATTGATAAGTAAATCAAAAATCAATAACAAAAAATATTTCATAAAAACTTGTTGGGGTTTTGTACTCTAAAACAACGACAAGCTGCCAATTTATATTTTCATTTGAAAAAATAAAAATATTTCAATAAAATAAAATTTTAGATTATGCTTTAATAAATAATCAATTTTATTATTACAAATACATGATATTTTTTATTTTTAAAAAAATTATAAAATGATAGAAAATGATATTATTATTATAAATAATCAATAACAAAAATTCAAAAAACTTTTTTCTCTAAACAACGACATCCAATTTCTAGGACATCCATAATATTATTTGCCTATGGCTAACCTCTACCAAAACCATAATAAGCTTTCTGTACTCTCTCTCTTTCTCTTTTATATACTCACACGTCTCTTCTCTTCCATATTCCTTGTAGATTGCTTCTGTCTTTGTCTCTCTTTCTCTTCCATTTTGTGTGATTCTTATATATGTTTTGCATTTTCTTTCCTCTAATGACCCATTAAAATTCTTCTTCCATCAATATATAATACTCCTCAATTTTCCTATATTTTCCTTTCTTGTACATCTCTTTATCCAAACATGTCAGCTGCCATCGCCGCCGCTTCTGCCGCTGCTGGCAATGGGAGTTCTTCAAGAAATGATAATATATCCCCAGCATCGCCATCTCCTCAACCACCGCCAATAGCACCGCCCTCACTTCCACTGAGTCGTTACGAATCTCAAAAAAGACGTGACTGGAATACTTTCGGTCAATACCTAAGAAACCACCGGCCACCTTTAGCTCTGTCACGGTGCAGCGGTGCTCATGTTCTTGAATTTTTAAGATATCTTGACCAATTTGGTAAGACTAAAGTGCATAACCAAACTTGTCCATTCTTTGGCCACCCTCATCCACCTGCTCCTTGCCCTTGCCCACTTAAACAAGCTTGGGGTAGCCTTGACGCGCTCATCGGACGGCTGAGAGCAGCTTTTGAAGAGAATGGTGGCTTGCCTGAGACTAATCCGTTTGGTGCACGCGCCGTCAGACTTTATCTTAGGGAAGTGAGAGATGCACAGGCCAAAGCTAGAGGAATAGCTTATGAGAAGAAGAAGAGAAAGAAGCCACAACCTCAACAACAGTTACGATCTGAAAATGGTTACAATAATCAAAGTCTGCAAGCTGGTGGCGCCGGTGGTGGATTTGTGGTTGAAAGAAATATGATAAACAGAGGTGTGGTTAATATGGGGAATTTGTCTGTATTGAACTAAGATTATTCCTCATGTAGTGAGTATGTTTTAGGGTTTATGTTTTCTAGTGTTGAATGGTAATTATTTTCTTTTTTTCTTTTTTTTTTTTGGGTTTTGATTATATGGGTAATTTAAAATGAGATTTTTTTTTTTTCATTTACTTATTACTATTATTAATCAAATGCATGTGTTTATCCTTCAGTCAAAAGGTCTCAAAAACTACATTTTTATTCTAACTTTGTTTTATATTTTTGGCTAATATTCTAATTTTAGATAGTACCAAAAGAAAAAATATCAAATAATTTTATAAACCCAGCTTAATTAAAACTTTAGCTAATTAATTGTGCCAAATATTTATATTTAGTCTCTTTAAGAATATAGAGTAAGATTTTTTTCAGGTTTCCGTTTACCAGAAAAAGATTAATGTGTAATTAATATATGTAACTATGTTAGTTTTAATTACTGTATTACCTCTTTTTATTTTCTGTAAGAAGATATTCATACTCTCTAAAAAGATATTCATATCTTTAAATTATTATTATTAACTTTTTTAAAATATATGTATTTGGTGTCAGTAAGTTTTTTGAAATTGAACTAATTAAATTAAAGAACTTTTACATTTAGGATTAATTAATTGTCCTTCCGTCCCAAAATATAAATCGTTTTAGCATTATTATTTTGTCTCAAACTATAAGTCATTTTGAGCATTTCAAGAAGTAATAAATGATGTTATTGCAATAAATGATCATAATAAAATATAATAATTATCTTTACAAATTACTTTAAGTTTTAGTTTTATGATAAAGAGTAATTTAATCAAATTACCTTTGATTTTATTATAATTTAAAAGAATTAATTACTTTTTTAATTCTCCTCTAAAAAATCTTGAACGATTTATATTTTGTGGACTGATAGAAACTGATTAAATTTTGTATTTACCTTTTTAATCTTCTTATTTGTTGTTATAAGTTATCTATTACTTCCTTCGTTCTTTTTATATAGGAAAAATTTTTATTTTAAATGTTCTTTTTATATAGAAAATTTTATCTTATTTAGTAATTTTGGAAAACATCCCAATGTGAAAAGTTTATCTTACCTTTATTTTAATCCTTTGTGAAGCTTTTGATGTAGGAAATTTTTAAGATAGTGGGAGATAAAAATATAGATGAACATTTAATGTGATAAATTTTAGAGAATGAATTTTTTACAACAATTTCCGTTGAAAAAAATGTACATGAGCACCGATTAAAATGGAGTTTGAATAGAAAAATGACCATAAGATTTTTAAGTTGAACACATTGAAAGGAATTCTTACAGACTTCACTGAATATTTAAAAATTACGCAATATTTAAAATATGTTTTAATAACCAAAAGTAGTTGTAGGTTAAATGAAGGTTAAATGAGCAAAAATTTTTATATTTCCACATAACTTTCTCAAATGAAGAACAAAAAACGAATTTCACTTCACATGTCTGAGTATAAACTTCATTTTTACAATTGTTTATATTCCCTTCGTTTTAATAAAGAATTTAAAGTCTCATTGAAAAATGAAACATAATTTAATACATATATTGATATTAGAGGATGAATAAATGAGATATTAGAAATAAACTAGGAAAAAAATAATTAAAAATTGATTAAACTACTTTTTTTAATTTTAGTGAAAAATTAGTTCTTACTGTATAAAAAAAATGAGTGAGTAAAATATTTTAATTAATGGAATGAGATTCCGTGTTCAGTGGAAATGAATGTGAGAGGTTCTAAGATTCTCTTTCTATGCACTTTAAAATAATTAAAAACTGTGTAAATAGTAGCTTTTGATAAGAAATTGGATAGCCCAACAATTTGGAGATACTTTCTTTTTATATAAATATAAATCGTTTTAAAATAATTTTTTAATCCATAAATACAAGCGATTTGAGAATTTTAAGGAATAATTAATGTACATTTTTCAATTTTATCCTTATATATGTTAAACAAATTAATCATTGATGGGTGAGATAAAGAGTAATTTAACTAAATCAATGAACGTTTGTACGTCTATTCATTCTAAAATATAAGTAGTTCTGAGTATTTTAAAGAATAATAAGTTATTTTTCAATTTTATCCTTATATATGTTAAACAAATTAATCATTGATGGGTGAGATAAAGAGTAATTTAACTAAATTAATGAACGTTTGTACGTCTATTCATTCTAAAATATAAGTAGTTCTGAGTATTTTAAAGAATAATAAGTTATCTTTTTTTTTTTTTTCAATTCTACCTTATTTATATTAGATATTAACTATCTTCATAATTACTTTTGGTTTTGAGATAAAAGATATTTTAGTAATATACTCTTGATTTTATTATAATTTAGGAAAATTTTTTTTTTAATTTTAATAAAAAACCTTAAACGACCTATATTTTTTGATATAAAAAATATAATCTAAAGGAATTAATTTTTTTTATTACCATTCAAAAACTTTAAGCGACTTATATTTATTAAATATAAGTCATGATGAAGTAGGAAGAACACCTAAATCAATCTAAAATTGAAATTGTATCCAAGACCTTAAATCAATAGTTTGTAAGTCTTCACTCGTTTATCTGTCACTTATTATTTTCATATATTTCAAAAGTGGGATTTTGACGGACACTTCGAATTCCAACACTTTTTTTTACTTCCTTTATTCCACTTTTATAGTAACATTTGCTCTTTTAACAAGAAAAAGATTAAAATTCATTGGTTTTCTAAAAATACATGGTAGAATGTCAAAATTTTTTTTTTAAAAATAAATATAAAAATAAATTACACCTAATAGATATGCGTAAAGTTAGAAAAAAAATAATTAAGATAGTCTCAAAATCCTAAATTAGCACTTAAAGTGAAATAATGTAAAAATGCCTATTTGTTGCCATTAAATTGGAACAGATGGAGTATCAACTTTTGTAATTAAATTGTATATATGAAAATTATTACTCCCTTCGTTCCACTTTAATAGTTATAAATGAGTATTTTACTTTATTCTACTTTAAGTGTCATTTAGGATTTTGAGAGTACACTAATTATTTTTTTTTCAAGTTTAACCATATTTATTAGGTGATTTGTAGTAAATTAAATGATGAGCTTTTAATTTAAGAAGGCCAATTTAGACATTTTATCATATATTTTTAGAAAATCAAAGTATTTCAATCATTTTCTAATCCTTGTGAAAATACCAAATAATGTTATTAAAGTGAAATGAAGTAATTTTTAACCAATTTTTTAATTTTATCAAAATATTAAAATTTTAGCTTGAAGAAAAGATGTATTTGGATGTGTTTTTTTTTCCACCTTTTTCTTCGTGAAAGTTGTGGAATGAGAAAATAAACAACATTATATATATATAATTCTTAAATGTTTATGAATGATATTAAAGAATTATTTATTTGGATTGAATTAATGTTTAATTTAAATCAACAACTCATTGTATTGAATCATTATGACGTGATTTATGATAATTTTGCATTTTTCTGTATCAAGTTATATAACTTATTAAATCAGCTTAAAATAGATTTTTATGGAGATAAATTTTAAGTTATAAATTCAAATAAACAACTTGTTAATTCAATTTAAGCAAATAAATTTATTTTATATATAAGTTGAAGTTCAAAACAACTTCTCATATAATTAGAAAAAGAAGAATAGAGCTGAAAAACCTAACCGTCTTTCATCCTCTCTTTCTTATTCTGGAGTTTTTCTAGATTTTGCTTCTTTAAGCCCTCGATAATTATTTTGATCAATAGTGTTTTTTTTTTTTACTTTTCTCCTGATTTTAATTAATTTTCTTTCCAATAATTTAAATATGTGTATTCATTTAGGATAGATTCTTGATTTAGTCTAGTTGATTTATTCTTGTTAATAGACCTTGAATATTTTTATTACCTCTTAGCGAGATCGAGTGTTTTTTTGTACTATCATGGTGGATTTTTATTGTGTTTGCGGTCTTTGTATGTAGTTGTTCCTCATTTTATGTTTATATCTTTTTTTTTTCTTGTTTGACAATTCAAAATACAAAATAGATCGTTGATTAATTTCGGTTAGAAAATATAAATATTCAATTTTGAGTAATGTTTTATATCAATGAAATTGACAGTGCAGCATATTCCTGTTAACATTTGGCATTCTTTACACTCTTTCGTGAATTTCCCGTGTTGTCAATCTCCGAAAGTACAAAGCTGGAAACAATATTATAAAGATTTCTTTTGTCAAAGTTATTATTGAAAAACGACAATTAATATTTTCTGTTAATATATTTCTAAACAAATAATTTCAATTTTCTATATATCAATTTCTTATTCCAATGGGAATTATATTATTATATTCTTTGTTAATGAATTTAAAAAAAAAAAAAAAGAAGGAAGCGTGGAGCTCGTGAATTTAACTTCCTTTTCTGTCCTAATTTTGTAGAGAGAGGGACGAAAAGGAAAGTAAACACCCTAGACAATGAAAAATTAGAAATTTTGTTTTTTTTTTTTTTAAATTCATCAGAGGTTATTATGCACCAAAATAAGCTACACAATCAAATCGGTAAAAACAATTGTGGTTGAAAGAACTTGAGACCTCTCAATCCTCATATAATGAGAAGACTAAATAGACCACCGCCTGATTAACAAAATTAGAAAAATTGTTAAGAATCCATTTTTCTCTTTTCTTATTTTCTTTTTAAATTGTCTTATTTTTTATCATTTTCATTTTTTATTTTTATGTTAACTCCGTGGACTGCCCTTTCAGGTCAGCAGTGGTTTTTTCTAATTATCTTTTAAGGTTTTTTTTAATAAGTTTATATTTCGCTGAATCTATAATTCAAATTCTTTCTAATTTAATTTTCTCAGATTATTTTACGTTAATTTGTAACTTTTTTTTTTTGGTGGTTTGAGCATGTTTTTGTATTTGGGTATAAAATTCTTTATTGTAGTCCATTTCTACCTAAGCTTTCTATTGAGTTGTAATTTAGTGACAGGATTAAATTGAAAGAATAATCCTAAATTTCTTTCTTTTTATTAATTTACGATTGTTAGAACCCGTGTGATGCGCAGAACAATATTAAAAGATATACTTAAATATCCATTTAATTACAT